ATAGTTTATTTAAAATGATCAAACAAAAATATTAGCTTCCAACGAAAAAGAAAGTGGTTTTACTGAAAAAAAAATCCTTAAATTGATTCCAAGCCAATTGAAGGATATAATATGAATACAGGAACTGTCCAAAAATTGAGGGGATTTTTTTTTTCTTATCCAAATTTTTAATTTGAAGTTAATAAATTGCCTAAATATACAAATTCAAATGTGAAAATTAGAATTTTCGTTTTCATGACTGATTGTACATCTAATAATTTGCTTTTATCTATAGTTACATTAAGATGTAATTTCTATTTTTATTCACAATGTTTAACTGTTTAAGACCAGCTTTTAAAGTGATGAGTAAAAAAAAAAAAAATCATATACTGAATGCCATTTTTGTAATATCAATTCTTAACATTTTGACCTTTAACCTCATTTTTTGAGGTGATGCATTGGTTATGAGGGTCCTCTTAGTTTATTTTCTTAGTTTTTGTATTATTCTGTGCATTTTGACACCAAAATCAACCATAATATAGAGTGTTCCCAAGATACATATTTTAGTGTTTTAGGTTGGGTCAATGACCTTTAACCCCAAAAAAGTAATTTTCCCACTCTCCTATACCCCTAACTTTGTTTTGGTGTTATCCTAGTATGTATTCCTACACAAGTCAGTTGAAATCACATTCATTGTAATATTTTAAAATGATATATGCCAATTTAGTGACTAAAAATACAATTTTTGACATTTTGACCTCATTTTCAAGGTCATGAATTGGTTCTGAAGGTCCTGCTATATTTTTCATTTGTTGTATAATTCTGTGCATTTTGACACCAAGATCAACCATATACCATAGAGTGTTCCAGAGATACATTTTTTTAGTATTTTAGACCTGGGTCAATGACCTTTGACCCCTCATAAAAAATTTTTCCCCACCCCCTAGCCCACCTAACTTTTTTGGCGTATCCTGGTATGTATCCCTACATAAATCAGTTGAATTCTGCTTCTTTCTAATTTTTTCGCAGATTTTGGGATACTATTTTTATGTGTACATTCAACAACAAATATGAGTTTCAAACTTGCTCAAATGAAGACGTTGACCAGCGGCCATTTTCATACATTAGATGTCAAATCTAATTCATACCCTGAACAAATATTAAATATATAATTCATAAACTAACAGGATAGTTTTTATAAAAAGCTAAGTATATAAACTATGTATAAATGATGCTTTATTTCAAAGGGAAACTTCCGTACATTGTAACCTCGCGACCGATCAATGAAAAAAATATTTTTAAATGGCTTAAGTAAACTTTGACCTGTTTACTTTCTACATAAGTTCAAAGGTTAGCGATTGCAACCAATAAATGATTTAATCCGATTTTTCTAATTCTGGATGCAAGATGCAGAACCAAAATAATCAGCATCAGAAACCGCAACAACGATAACAGTACGTGACGTCGCTCTTCTAACATACCTAGTTATCATTAGGCGTTATATTTTATTAACCATAAAATTAAATAAATATACCTAATGAAAAAGGATGCCAGTCAATTTGAGCGGATGTCAATTCGAGCGGATGCCAGTTCGGATGCATTTAGTGAGACTACAACAACAAGGGCGAATTTATGGTCGCCCTATTTTTGTATTTGTTTGTTTTAAATGAAAAAAATGCTTTGTGCACTAAAGTTCTGAAATGTTTTTGGTACTTTTTGATAATTATTCCTTGTTTGAATTACAGTCTTGGCAAATCCAACTAAAAGGCCGCTTTAAAGCACTTAGGCCCTGTATTTTAAAACTACATAATTCGCACGTAGAATTCACGGTTTTTGTCTCCAGTTAGTTGATTTTAGCGTTGTAACAGTATTTGTAGATTTACGATTTAGCCCTATATTTGTAAATGGGAGTATTAAACTGTAAATGTAATTTTTATTCACCATAGAAAACGTGCCCCCTTCGTCTTGCCACTAAATTTTAAAAATGTCAATGCATATTAATGTTATGTGCTACTCACTATTCTGAAACTGTTGTGCCCCACCCCGCCGTCTGAAAAAATCTGGATCCTCCAGCCCCTGTGACAAGACTATCAACAGCACAGTAATAGACATCATACCAATTTTCTCCACTATTCAACTATTCGTCTATATAGTTAAAAACCCACTTTTTTTTTAAACTTAGCATGTGGAAAGAATAACGATGACTAAACATTATTTTTTTATGAACGTAGGTATGTTTAATTGTAAATTGTTAACCTTATAAATCAATTGAATACGACTTTTTTACTTAAGGCTAAAGGCTTTTCCCCCAGAACACACTGGGGCTTTTCCCCTGGCTCCAGTGGCGTATTTAGAAGTCTTGAAATGGGGGTGCTGATTGGGGACGCAAAGGTAGGGGGTTTCGATGATCAGTTGAGGGGTGCTAACTCGCAAAATAAGGTGAATTTTAAC